AATAGAGGCACATCTAAAACATGCAGAGCAGGGGGGGCAGTGAGGACCAGGGTTGAGAAACACTGCTCCAGTGCATGATTAATCATTTATAGATTCTTTTTTGCATTATCAATTACTAACTAGACTGCAAAATGTGATTTTTTTTTTTTTTAAGAATCTTAGCCAGATAAAGCTAAAACTCTGCCACTTGAGTTCTGGGTTAAAATTTTGTTACACACGTTTATTTTTGTTTTGTTTTTAAAAATTATTATTAATCTTAAATGCAAAATGTCAATATTTTGTAGTTTTGACTTAATTATTTCTGTGAATATCTTCTTGTTTCAGCTTTTTTTTAATCTGTACATTCCAGTTAGCGATTAATTGATTTCTAAATGAGTTGACGATTATTTCAATAATCAATTAATCACAATTAATCGCTTAAGCTCTGATTACATTTTAAAGGAAGCTGCTGGGTGATTAAGTTGGAGTGAATCCCACCATTTAATGCAACATACCTTGACTGCTCTCAGAATAGGTATCGGCTTTCCTCTTCCGGCCCCTGGACGACTCAGAGTGCTTCTTCTCCGGGGTCTAACAATCGATATTTGATGAAAGGAGCAGGAGAAAGAAAAGACAAAAAAAAAAAGAAGACAAAAAAAAACATAAATCCCTTGCGTTTTACCTAACAAACCAGAGCGCAGTGCAGGGTGTTCAGTAGGAAAGAGCAGCAGGAAGAAAGAGTACATACTGAGTAGGCAGGGGAGCTCCCTCTTTTCAAATCAGAGTTCTAGGAAGACAAAAGAAGGTGGAGGTGGAGGAAGAGACAGAGCGAAGAGCGGCTGGTGCATAACAACACTTTATGTGTGCGTACATGTTTGAAACTCAGCTTTTGTGTCTTTGCGTGAGAAAGGAAGGGTGCATGGACGTCTCTGTGTGTGGGGTTTACCTCCGACTCCTTGTCGCTGGATGATCCCAGACTCCCGTAGCTGTGGTTTGAGGATTCGTTAGCCAGACCCTACGCAGAGAGACAGACACACACATACAAACACACAGGTCAGCATACGGGGAGAACAGTCTGTACAGGTGTGTTGTGCAAGCTCAGTGACTTTGGCAGAAATGTGTAGAATAGAGAAACCAGCGCTGGCAGCAGGCCTGCGGTCTGACATGCCTGACAGGAATGCAGATTCTTAGTGAGTGGGTGTGTCACTTGGCGTTTCTTCCCCAACGCATGAACATTTCCAGGAACTGAAGAGTCCTTTTTAGGAAAACGGGAAACTTTAACCTGATTTTCCAGTGTGGGGAGCTGGGGCTGGACTTTTATTTCTGGGATTAAAGTAGCTTTAAATTTAGTATTTTGAATACAGTTTGGATTATACTAAAGTCGTGCGTCTGAGTGTTTTGTCTTGAAGTTGATTTTTAGCTAATCGTCACTTGTTGCCATTTCATCAAGGAGCGTTTAGCGTGAGAAAATGTATTTAAATAAGGTTTGAGTGCCTAAAATTAAAGAGTCATCTCTAGTAATGCACTAATCGATTCATATGTGATTGAAATCTTTAATTTTTTCTCCTGTTAGCTTTGATCGGTGAGCTACAAGTAGGTTTTTTGTTTGTTTTTGTTTTTTTGTTTTTTTCGTTTTTCCATCCATTCATTAAATGCACCAAAAGTGGAGATTATTTTATTATGGCTTCGTTTTCAATTGAGCTGATGTTTGTTACAAGAGATCCACAAATCAGAACTCTCAAACTGATTTCCAATTGTTTTTTATGTTGCAAAGTTTAGAGTTGCTGATTGCGATCTCTTGTCAAAAACTATAATGCACTGATATAAGAAGAAAAAACAAGACAGCATATTAAATGCTGCTCTAGCCATCATACTGTGGGTGGTCATTATTGATATTCAGAGGAGACATTATGTCACACCGTGTCTGTGAGAGCCGTCAGTGTTTCACTAATTTAAAACAAAGACAAAATGATTATAGGGTCGACATTTTAAAACTGTCGTTAGCATATTATATTAGCGGAAAAAAAAACTGCACAAATGGGCAGTTTTACTGTAGTACATTCGGCCTTCCAGATATTTTTTTTACTCTACAACAAAATATTTAACATCTTCTAACATGGAAAATACGATATTGTTTAAATTTAATTCTTACATCTCTGTACTAAAGATTATTGCAGTAATTGATTATTCTATCAATTATTCTGAGTTAACTGGATAAAATATCGATGCATTTTACAGATTATTTAGTTAACAACTTAATCCTTTTTGTTCAAAACTAAAAATACATTAAACAATGAAAATACACAATTCAGCTTATTTTTAAAATAAGAAAATAAATATTTCATTGTCTAAGATGTAATGTATCATTCCTTTAGTCAATTTTAACCAGGTGAAGCTAAATTAGGCCACTTGATATTTACACACTAAAGTGTTTTTATCTTAAATACAAAATGTAGATTTTTTTTATATAGTTTTGGTAATTATTTGGTAATATTTTTGGGGGGGCAGGGGGTTCAGCAAATTGCCTTTTTTGGAGTCTGTATTAATCGATTACAAAATTAATCAGTAGAAAACTGATCACCGATTTTTTGTTGCCTCTCTGTTTGTTACATTCGTATGAGGAATATAAACATACTCAATACATATCAGCTCATAAGCAGTTTTCAGAAAGAAAAACCAAAAACGCAAATTGAGCTAAATCAGACCCAGTGGCTCAAATCACAGAAAAAATACACATTTTTAAAAAATAAATAATTGGTACCGGTCAGTCGGCTTGATCAGTGCATCTCTACAGAAAGATTGTTGCATTTGTCTGCATTTTGTATTTCAAAATCAAGGATTTAGTTTAGGTTCTTTTACATTTGTTTTTCTTTGGGGGCTGTGGGAGGGTTGGGTGGGGGTCAGAGGGAGGTGCTGCCATTACCTTTGCACCTCCACTGGCGCTCCCAGTGCTGCCTCCCGTATTGCCGCTGACAGCTCCTGTAAACCTGGCCTCCAGCAGCTCCTGTCTCCTGGGGTCCAAGCTGTGCAGCTCCTCCATTGCTCCTGTTATAAAAGCACACAGGTGTTGCCATTTAAGTTAATTCAGTGACACACACACACACACCAAAAAAATAAATAAATACAATAGAAAATTAACTCAAGATAGACCTGAAAATGTCAAGAGTAGGAATGTAAACATAGAAAAGTAAAAACTAAAATGGATGGATCTAATACAAAGGTGGTTCTTTAAAAAAAAAGAAGAAGAAGACTGTGTGTGGTAGAAGGTGCAGCAGATTAGTGTCAGAGCATTTCCAAACTGAGCAGAAAGGTCACGGTAGCACTGGGAAGTCAGGAAGCGAAAAGGCGAGAGTGGGTGAAGTCAGCCTTCCAGTCTGTCCACACAAAAATTTTCCACCAGCTAACCCACGGTATTATCACACGGAGCAGTCAAAACAACAGCTCCACACAAGACACTGACATTTATGCATCCGGAGACGCTAGAAGCATCTAGAATAGTCGAGTTACAGCTTTAGAATTACAACTATGTTACCCTAAACTTGTAAAGACAAAAAAAGACATAAAGCAAAAACAACAAGGCCTTTCACAGCATGTCTAATTAAAATGCTACATGTGTGCATCAGGGGCGCTTACACTGCCAAAAAAAATTAAATAAAGGCTATTCCAGCTAAGCAAAAGCCCAGATTTACCTTTTAAAAAAAATAAAATTAAAATCACAAGCGTCAGTGGTGAGCCATATTCCAGACACACAGTTACGTTTGGTGTGTCACATGTAGAAAGAAACTCATGTGTGCCTGTATGACGGGGGCTTTGATCTGGTACAACCAGTTTCCACACAGAGAGGAGAGGTAACACAGCTGCTCTGCTCCCTACTGCTCCAAGTGTTTGTTTCCTTATTGGACATTTCCAGGCTGTCATCTTTACACAGCTACTGGCACTGGGGCAGGCCTTAAAAGGCATAATGGAGATTATGAAACCCTTATGAAGCACGTAGCAGAGGTTACCCTCGGACAGAATAGAAAGTGATTTGGGGGTTGATTGAAATGCAAAGGAGTTCGAGCTTCATACTGTTTTGTTGTTTTTTTTCGTCGAGGTACAGTATGTAACTCGAACAGATTCGACAAAAAAAAAAAATTCTTAGAAATCAACTTGTCAACACTACAAAAGCTCTGAATATTTTAACATTGCAGATCGTGTCCCTTATTACTAATGGATCAAGCTGCAACGTTAAAACCAGCTGTTGCCACTTATCACGGTTTATCCATCCACACTGTCTAGGAGTAAATTACTTTCTCTCCCCCCACCCCCCTATACACAAAAAATACGACGAAAAACAAGGCGGAGAAAAATACAGATACATCCACAAAAAAAAATAAAAACTAGTTGAAAAGTAACGCAAGCGGACTGTTGTGTTAATAATGATAATAATAAAGGCAGGGACATGCACAGTTTACGTTGTTTATCTACAAAGTGACAGGAGGCAAATGATACTAAGTGCAACACTGATACGGCTTCAACCTGGAAGCTACACAAACAAGTCAACAAGCTAGCTGCAGCCTTTGAGGAAACAGGGTGATTTAGCTCGCTGCTACTTAGAGCTGGGATTAAATTGAACTGACAGCTGACGTTTGGCTTCCAATTCACGGCATCAGTGAACTTGACATCCATTTTTTTCTCTCTTCTTCTTCTTCTTCTTCTTTCCCCCCTCAGCAAAATGTTAGCTTCCCAACCACCGAAATGGCCTCCGTCTCACGATAAAAATGACACCTTTTCATTAAAACGGGAGCGGGTCAAGCCCTCGGCGAGGCGTTTCAGTACCTTCCTTGCTCTTTGCGGTCGCCGTTATGTGTTGTTGAGAAATCGTAGGGGACGAGGAGAGCTGCGACCAAGATGGCGTCGCCTCCAAACTTCCACCACCACTTCCACTGTTACTTTGGACACTCATGAAGCCACTTTACCGCCGAGAGGAGCCAGAGCACACACTGCTGTTTGCGGAAATCTCGAACTTATCGTGTTCATCATTTTTTTTTTTTTTTTTTTGGCACCTGCCGCAGCCGAACACAACGGCGAAAAGAAAAAAAAACCTGGGAGAGGAGTAAGGGGAGAGACGTCAGTCCCGTCTTCGTCGCCGCTAGACGTCTCGCATGTTGTCGCCCGAGAGGGTCCTGCGGGGGAGCGGCTTCTTGACACGGATCCAGTGTAACCTTTGCATGATGACCGCACCGCGCGCGCCTGTCAGCATCCAGTTCGCGAGCGGAGCTTTGATTCTAGTGTCGGTAGGCGAGGCTATCGCGAGGCTGGCGGCGCTGCGAGCGAGCGCGAGAGCAGGCTTGACACCGAAGCAGACACTGATCTGGGATCATTTTACCCTCCTCCAAACTAGCTCTGGGTTCACCGGAAGCCACCGCTCTGCGTCGACCTGGGAACAGTTTTCTTGTTAGGCTCCAACAACAAACATCCCGACAAAAAATAAAAAAATAAAATAAAATAAAAAATGGCTGAAAGTTGTTGTCCGCATCCAGAGCAGCAAGGAGAAGCCGCACATTTACATTTAGTCAACAACAGCGAATCATTTCAATGTACATTAAATCAGACTGGCGCTCTGCTTTAAGTGCATTTTGAACAAGACGCATGTTTTAAGTTGACGTGAGAGAGTTTGTGCTTGTATTCATGCATATTATGTGTTTGACTGGGCTGTGGTCTCGATGCTCTTGCCTTTTTTTTTTTTTTACTCTTGAGGTACAAGTTGCAGGGAGGGGGTGCAGGTGGGAGGATAGTGATGTGGTCTGGGCTCTAAGGTGTTTTGTTCCAAATTTGGTGCAGTGCATCAAAATGCCTTTGCCATCTTGTAGGGCATCACACACATACAGTCTATTCTTTACTTTAGCGTGCAACTTGTCCTACTTGTTTAGCCCTTTTGCACCCGATGACATATTTTACACTCTAAAAATGTTTTATTTTTTTCCATGGGAGGGTTAAAAACTTGTACTTAAAACTTTATTAAGTGTACTTAAGACTACCATTCCAGCTGAAGTTAATTACGCTTTAAAGGGGCTTGTTGTCTCTCAGCCTTGCAGTCAGATTGCATCAACACACCAGGGTACAAACAATCACATTGCACTTCATATGCACCTGCTCATGGTAACCTGATTTTTTATTTTTATTTTTTTTGTGGCAAGGTTTCCATAGTAACTGCAAAAGGTTAAAAAGGCTATGAAGATGATTGTATAAGCAGTCTATATGCCACTCATTTATAGCATAGTGCCAAACACACACCATGTGTATGCCGGTCTGTACCTCAATGTGAAACCTGCGTAGTTTTCTAAGGAAAGCAGTAACTGGTAATCAATATTTTAACAAGCTGTCAGGAGATTTTGAGAATCAAAATGCAGGACTGGAAAGTTGTTGTGTTAGCTGAGATTTTGAAAACTTTCTTCAGCCAAGAAGCACAGCTGCAAGCTAAGAAAAAAAAGAATAAAAAAAAAAGAAAAAAAAATCTTAGAATCTTTCCTCAAACACTTAAAAATGGTAATTCTACATCCAGCTGTAGCATCATTATATTTTAAGTCAGCTCTGTTTTTCATCAGATAATTAATTTTACCGGATAAAATTCAGAATATTACCATCATAAAAATTGAATACAGAGAAAAGAAGCTATTACATTTTTTAACGTGGATGTCTGTTAAACACTTTTGCAACGGTTAGTTTAAAGATTATTCATGCTTTGTAAAATACAAGAAATTACAGGGAGTTCATTACCGTGACCAGGATTTGTGGGCAGTAAAAGCTTATACTTACTCTCACTTTAACTCAGAATGTCCTAAGCAACCTGAAAAAAGCCTGCTAAATTAATATCATATGCTATATAAAGCTTACAAGCGCACACAACATTTATTGGCAAAGGAAAAGATGTGTGAAGAAGCCTTATGATGAAACATTTTGCTATGGCAGAGGCATAATCTCACATTTGCTAAAGAAACCCCCAATAATTTAAAATAAATTCATTCAGAGCCCATGTCAAGCTAACAGCTTTATTTACATATTTTTTACTAAATCAGTGGTATTGGAACTATGTTCGTTTCTATCAAATAAACATAACTAAACTGGAAGTGTGTTTACTAACTTTTGATTAGTATTCAGTAAATTAGTACTTCACCAGATAAAACATTATGCAGATTAACTACACAAAGACTGGTGTTTTCAAGCTTTTATTTCTGTTTATTATTTTCCGCTTTCATCAGATCAATAAAAACCTATTTCTCAAAACACAAATATCTGGTATTGTATATCTCTGCAGGTAGGTAGATAGACTCAGGATAAATTTAGCTCTTGTTTGAATGAAAATATTTTTCAAACGAAATCTACCGAGGTTATGAATACATTCGCTTAACTGATGACAAAGAAAAAAGAAGTATGAAGTTCACCGTTAATGAACTGCACCTAAGAGTCTTCATTATCTCTACCGTCTGTGACTTTGCATGTAATTTGTGCCTTAAAACGTCTCAGTTCCGAGTCATAAACACAGCTGAATGGGTCATTTTAATATTTACAAAAATTAATTCATGTAAAGTCATTAACTGGAGCTGGAACATGTAATCAACTACCCCACAAAAAAACTATTATTTTTTTTTAGTTTATAGCTACTTAAAAATTAAAAAAAATTAAAAAAAGATTTGAGTTAAGAGCCACATGTAGAGAACTTACTTCATCTTAATCTAAGTTCAAACTTTGCGAAAAGGCAACGTTTGTGTCTCAAGTAAAGAAAAAAAAACCCACAAATATTGCACAGAGACATTTGAATATCACTATTCTTTTAATAGGGGCAAGATTTATAATGGACAGCATTATCATTTATTGTTTACAAATGCATAAACTTAAAGATACTGAATAACGGTGCGTGGAAATCCGAGCAGCTCAGCGCGAAGCCTCAGGGAAACATGTTGTTCTTCGGTCGATTGATCATCTTCTGCTCCTCGTACATCCTGATATACGACTTGACGAGGTCCTCTATCGTCCCGGCCTGAGGCAGGAAGAAATGGCCAGCGTGAATAAAGATGAATGGTCGCTGATACTTGACCTTATTTAAATCTGCATTTAACCTCGGCCCTCTCACCTGTGAGGTTGAACACACAAAGTTGATGCCCGGCACCAGGGTGCGGATGGTCATCTGGAAAATGTTGCCTGTGCTGCTGTAGTCTGTGATGCGGTTGAACGGGTGCATCACTTGCAGCTCCTGAAACGATGGGAGAATCGTACGTTCATGTAGATAAAAAAGAATAAATACAAACAATAGCGACAGAAGTTGCTTATTAAAAAAGGATTATATACAGGAGCTTTAAAAGGGAAGTACTATGTATTTTCTAGGCTTGTAGTGCTATTTTATAGCACAATCAAGTAACCATGTTACCTTCAGTTGTTATAAAAGTTATGCAAAAGAAATTTGACCCTGTAGTTTAATAGAAACTGGTCTCTTTAAGAAACTCCTGCTCTTTCAGAAACTCCGCCTTCAGGAAGTCATCACATCATCGCTTCTCTATTAACCCTTCAACAACGTCTTTACCAGTGTTTCGCTTATAAGTAGCTCATATAATGAATTTAGCAGATGTACAGCTCCACCAGGTGTTTGCTAATTTCTGCTGGCTAGTCTGAAGGAGCTGAGTGAGGGAGATAAAAGGATTTCACAAAAAAATCAAGGCAACACTCCAGGTATGTTTTTGATGTGAGGGAATAACATTATGACGTGATGTAAACCTCAAAAAAGTCAATTTTATATAACCCTGCCCCTTTAAAAATATTTCAACCCCTTATATTTTTCATCATCTTGTCACATTCTCTCCACAGATTTAGGTTTTTTTTTTTTAAGGAGTTATGTGATAGACCAACGTATGGTTGCACAGTGTTATGAAACTAAAGGAAAATAAGGTATGATTTCAAAATATTTTTTTAAGTTAACACTTTGTTAAACCACCTTGTGCTGCAGCTGCAGCTCCAAGTTTTTTTTGTTATATTTCTGTGAAAGCTTTTCTACAACCAGATGCAGAAATTTTTGCCACATTTTTGCATAATTAGCTCGAGCTCAGTCAGATTGGATGTAGATAATCAGTAAATGGGAAGTTTTACTTTTTGTTTTTTGTTTTTTTTACTTTCCAGGTGAGATATTCTCTTCCCAGTTAAGAGTGGCTAATTAGGTACATCATGAATTTTATTGAACGACGTCTGAGTAAATATATGCCACAGAGTAAAAATTCTTATAAAACATCACATTATCTTTGAATTTCTTTGTGTTGTTTCCATCATATAAAATCCAATCTGCACTAATCTGCATAAATACTGACAATAATCAACAGTTGCTCTGCGTACCTTTGTTTTGGGGTCAATTAGGCTGACACCTTTCTTGCTGACCGTAAACCAGAGTGTGTTCGGGTAGTCTGGCTCACAATTTTGCTGCAGAAAAAAAAAGATAAATAAAAATTAAAAAATGATGTTTTCTTGGTGTAGAGGGGTGAAAAATGAGCTCTTAGTAAATTAAAACAATAATTAAGAAAATAGGCACCCCAACATAATTTTTATTTTTGTATTTTGTATTTCTCATTGTACTAAGTTCTGTAGTGTCAATTTAGATTGTCCGATGCAATTCCGCACACAACCGCTAGGGGCGCTGCCGCGTTAGTGGCACAGAAAAGATTGAGCACACAAGAAGAATAAATCTTCCGGTTAAATGAGAAGGAAGCTCAACGTGTGTGTCTCGTCTTTCCTGTTCCACAGGTCAGTAAAAATGTGTTTTTATGAATATATATATGTTTCTTGGAAGAGTTGAGGAGGTCCTTGGGTCAACTGTCGACTAATGAGTTGCAAAGTTCGTCTTGTAATTGTTGTGTATGAGGGCGGGACTTGTTCTGGGGGCTGGTTGGAGCTAGTGCTAGCGGGCCTGTGCACGTGTGTGTGAGCTAGCTGAGGATCTAGCTGACGGTCAGCCGAGTTCATTTGAGCTTGTGTTAGGCACTTTTTGGGAGAGTCTCACTCAAGGGACATTGTTCTGGTTTCTCTATTTTATAGATGTTATGTTTTTTATTTTTATTTTATTTTATGGGTTTGTTGAAAAACCTGATAAATCATATCTGTGTGAGGCTGAGCGCCGAGGCACAGAGATGAAGAGGCATTGCGCC